GATATCAATCAGAGCCGGGAAAGCGAACACACTGAGGAAAGTGAAGCGCTGGTATCCACGCATGGGCTTGACCTTGTGAGTGGGATCAACATCAATCTGAGCACCGGCGTAGGAAGTAGCCATGTCCGGAGCACCGTGGATCCAGTCGGGTAGTTTTTCATCGTTGTAACTTTTGCGGAATCGATCCGAGAGAAGTTTACCAAAGGCACTGGGCGAAACATCAAAGTAGGCCTCGCAGCGGGATCCTAGGGCGAACGATTCGGCAAAAGCTGCAGCCTGATCGGACTGGTTGTTGAACAACGGATTGCGGTCAGTCACCTCGGCATAGATCTCGTCAAGAGCACCCTTTCGTGCAGCGCAGAACAACGACAGGACCATGATGTCGGTATAAGCATCGATAGGGCCATCCTCGACTAGCTGTCCTAGACCTTTTGAGATTTGAGCGAGGTCATCTTCTCTCCGCTCTCGTAGTACTTTCGTGAAGACCGATTCCGCCTCGTAGAACAATGCAAGAGACGAGGCAGCAGAGGGATATTGGCAGCCCTGTTCCTTGTACCAATTGATCCGAGTTTCGACCAAGACTTCTGGTGAAGCCGATCCTTCAAGATAGGCAACCGTGTTGAGCTCCTTTAGCTGAGCTAGTGTCGGGGCGTCCACAAGTTGTCGCCGGATGTACGCACACATGGTTTCAGAAAGATCGCCCTTGGCATCAGTCAATGATAGATGTTGCAACAGCAAAAGTCGTTCTTCCGGACTCAAGGCGTCAATGTCCTGGATGATGCGGCGCGGTAGCCCAATTTCCTCGTTGATATCTTTTGACCATCTCGCCAACGCAATTTCGGCCTCGAAACAAACGTGACGGGGGTAGCCTTTGGCGGAGAGGAAGGTGTGTAATACAGTGCCAGCCAGTCCCTGGGCATTTTTCGAGGCGAAGACATCAAAACCATCCGCGTCCATCTGATACACAGCCCAGAAGCGAACATCAGCACTCTTGCGTAGACCAGAATCTAACCCGAGGTAAACTCGCAACATATCGTTGGACGCCATGTTCGACAGTTCCTTGATCGAGGCGGCCAATTGATCCGAAGCCATCCAGCTCGAGAGGGCAAAGTTTTCATAGAACTGTCGAAGGAGGAGCCCCATGTTTTGCATTTTCGACGACGGAACCGGATGAAGAAGATTCAGCGACTTCAGACGCTGCTGGGAATGAACGATTTCTGCGAAAGCAACCGGGGTTGCCTCTGAGCCGAGCGGAAAACAACCAAGTTCTTTGTATTCGACACCGGCCATGGAGATGGATAGCGGACTGCCCTGAGACTTGACTTGAGCGACCCATTCCGGAGGCTCGCGGAGCTTGTTTGCTGGCGAATTCTTGATTTTAGATGAGTGTTCCGAAGAAAAGAGCAAGTCGTCCAGGGACGGGAAATATGCGCGCAGTGTATCCCAAGAGGCCTTGGCCACATAGTTGTGTGCAATATCGAGATTGGTGCGCCAGCGATCGTGGGCCTTCATGGTCTCTGTATCTTTCAGCCAGCCAAAGGAGGACAGCGGCTCCGGGGTTTTGACATTGATGGCAGCGTTCTCCAGAGCGGACTTGCGGCCAATCCAGGGAATTGCACTGTAGAAATTACACCACTGCATGGATCGTTGAACAACAGCATTGGAAAGCGTAACATCGTCGTCGATGGTTTCCCAGGCCAGCACCAAAAAGTCTCTCATGCATGCCTCTGACACAAAGGCTTTGATAGTTGGACGCAGCTTGTCGAGCTGGAAATAGTCGCGCTTCTGACCGTCGGGGAGGATGCTAGCATTTCGGACGACCAGACCAGAGATAGCCGGAGTTTGTAGGGATTGGCCATCCTCGAGGAACGTAGGCGGTCCTGTTTCCAGATACACGGCCAGACCAAGACCATGGATGGCTTCGGCGAGTTTGGCGAGAACCTTTGGCGTGAACTTGTCCTCCCAGTTTGCAAGCACAATACCGGAGAAGGCACTTCCGTGAAAGCTCCCGGCCAGGATGCTGTCGATGTTTTCAATGGCGGCGAGAGTGTTGTCCTGCTGGGAAGAAACTAGGGCGAGATCAACTCGCCCCAAAACCTGCTTCCCATCGATGTTTGAAATGGCCTGAACAACCCCCGACTTGGATGGATCCACAATCAAGAGTTCGTAGCGATCGAGAAGCTGACGGTGCGTCTCATCCAAGGGAGTAGCAAAAGAACCCAAATAGACTCCCACGGATGTAGGCTTCCGTTTCGTGCGATGCGCCGCGGCCAGGGTAAGCTGTTGGTTGGCGATCTTGTCCAGGCGTTGAGTGACAGCAGCCGGAACAATCTCGACACGCGGTCTTGTCTGAAAGGTTATATCAGACAAAGTGATTCCAATTAGCATATACATGTTGGGTGAGAACCCACCTTATACCATCGTATGGCTCTGCGGGTGCCAGAGTAGGTAAGATATGTACATCCACAAACCACACTTGCCAGCAAGATGGCAATTAGAACCTAGCAAGAGGTTAACACAAAAGTTTCTCCGAAGCAGGGCACACAGGCACGTACATATTGCCACCAGAATTCTCTCATGAAAACCCACCCGACGGGTGAGACGTCGAGGATTTGCGCCATCCCGAAGAGAGATTAACGGAGCAAAGTCGTGAAGCGAAGGACATGTAGTAGCAGTGGCATAACAGGAGATCGAGCGGACAGTATTAAACTACAATTAGAGGCTCGAATCGGACATGGGGAAAGTTTGTCTTTCTCTAAGCCATGCTCCAGGTGGGTATTGGAAACCTAACCAGCGGGGGGAGGGGTGAATAGAATAACGAGTAGTAAATAGTAACGATAGACTGTATGGGAATATAAACGAAGGGAAGGAAGTAAGAAGGTGGTGAGAACGAGGGGCGCCACCGGAAGGATAAAGAAAGGAAAAATAAAAACAAAAATAAAGAAAAGAAAGTAAATATACAAGCAGATGGAGGATGGAGTGATGGGATAGGATGGGATGGAACAAGGAGGGAATGAACCAGCAGCAGCCAAAGTGCCAGCCTCAGGACTTCCTGCACTGACTTGTATGATTGAGCGAGAGACAGAGAGAGACAGGCAGCGTGTTAGGTCAGCGGCTACTGCAAGATGTCAGTTAAGGTCCATCTTTTTTATTTTTTTTTATTTTTCATTTTTTTTTCTGTCTGTCTCCTCTTTCTTTTTCCGCCTGTTTGGGGGTTTTCTTTGGGTCGCATTAGATCGGGACCACTACTGGGTCTGATGCAATTGGAATGGCCGGTGGCGGACCAACCCAGCACTGGGCAACAAAAATAGCAAGGCCTTCGTCTCAGCTTTCGCAGCTAACTGGCGCTAAGAAGTTTAGGTCTGTTTGACGATGAGTACTACTAGTACTGTCATGTTTAGTTTTAGTCAGTCTCGGGCAGAAGCGATGCCATGAGGGGATAGTGGCAATGGTAATCAATGGCAATGGTGTTGGCCTTTCTGGCGGCCAATTCCGTAGAATTCAGAGTTTTGTTTTTATTTTATTATTTTATTCTTTTTATTAATGGCGTCGGAGTACGCCAGGAGGCTAACAAGGTGATCAAATCAGATGACTGGGAAAGGAGAAGGTTCCATTCATGGGCAAAGCGGTGGTGGTGGAGGGGGAGACACAGCGGTGCTGGTGACGGGGGAAGTTCTTCCATGCATCGTCATTCGTGTTGCCTATTGGTCTAGGAAGAAAAAAATTGCTTTTCTTGCTTTGTGGTCTGCTCCTTACATTAGCCCAAGTGGAGAGAGAGAATTGTAGACTCGACTGGACTCGACTCGACTCATGAGAAAGAAAAAAAAAGGGCAGAAAAGGAAAGGATGGCGGCGGTGGAGAAGAGCACCTGCAGCTATCCAGATTAGGGCAAGTTCCGTATGCTTACGGAAACATCCCGTTGCCATGTATCCGAACCATACCGTATTATACACTCTATAGTTTTACAAAAAGACCACCCGTGTGACATGGATGGAAAGTTTGTATTACCCCTCGGTGTAACAAACACGATGGAGTCACTTTCCCATCTTCACCATCACCTTCGGGCCCTAAACTCAAGTCAATTCCTTCTTCCATGTTCCTGCTGAAGGTTTTCGGGTGTGCCTAGTCGATTGTTTCTACCCCACACCGGTGCTAAAGTCGATCTTTCGGGCTTTCCAAAATCCAACATTCGCCTCGGTCCCCTAAACCCTGAGCAAAAAGGCAAAAGCCACTAAATTTGGACCCTTGGCAACCCTGGTTGGGCCTCTCCCTCTGCCTCCCCGTCTGGCTGGCCCGGTGCCACAAAAGTGTGGCCAAGCAACCATGTTAGTGCGCCTCTATGGTTAGCTTGTTTAGATTTTTCCCAATCCTGGCTAAAAATGCTATACTAAGCCCAATTCAATTCAGGAACTCATCCCATAATGGGGCCCTTCGGTCAGACTTCGGGGGGGCCAATTTCCACCAGGGCAGTCCGAGCCCCAGGAATGTGAAGACTAGTCACAATCTTGAACATCCATAGAAACCATCCCCTCAGTCCCTTGGAAACCAGGCAAAGCTCTGTCTCGGCCTCGGAATTAGATCCATGAACCGGTCCATCCATGAGGGTTCTAAATCGGAGAGCGGGTCTGCAAGGACCCTCCAAGAGGATGCGGAATCTATGAATCGGGCTGGGTCGTGGAACCCTCGGAGGAGGGGGGGGGGGGGGTCGTCCATCGCGACGATTTGGTCAGGTCAAGCAAGTGGAAACGATAGGTTCCCAATTCTCCGTGCGGTTGCTACGCCCATCTGTCCGGGATAAATAGACATACATAATGTGATTGCACGCGCATATGACAGCCCGCTCTTCCTTCTCTCCACAACCGAAGGCGTTCTTCCAGGGGTCCGTTGCTGCAGGTCCACCTCAGTCATTCGTTATCATTCGTCTTCGCTTGCTTGTCCTTCGTTTCTTTTTCCTTAGCGAAGAGGGGGTGGTGCTCAGTGCCTGAGCCGTTCGTATCGCAATGAATACCCTAAAATCGTCGATTACCAGTCTCAACTGCTTTCTGGGCTTTATAACTTGCAAGACTCCCCCGGGGATTTGGCCACAGAATCCGACGGTGCTGACCAGTGCATCTTCTGCCTCATCTACTCCTGTCGCTGAAGTCACCGGGCCTACCGCTCCTGGTACTACTTCAGCTGTCCATTCGTTGACTACCACGACTACTTCTTCTTTCGTTTCCTTCTTGTCCAGTACTAGCTCTGCCCCGTCCAGCTTTGTGACCTCGGCAGCCTCTTCTACCACATTCGTTGATACCTCTGCTAGCGGGTCAGTCAGCGCCCTAAGCAGCAGCACTGCCAGCACTATGTCTGTCAGTCTGAGTCTCAGCTCGAGCATTGTGGCGTCGTCTGCTGTTCCTGCAGCGACGCCCGTCAGCAGCGGCTCCATCGCCGCCAACATCCTGGTGATTGCGCGCGACACTGCCTCTGCAGGCGTGGCATCATCTGGTCTCAATGCCTATGGCATTCCCTTCACTACTCTGGTCGTGCCCCAGTCTGGCGCCAGCCTGCCCGCCCTGAACGGCACCGAAGGTGGCAACTTCGCCGGTATTGTGGTTGCCAGTGAAGTCAGCTACAACTACGGCAATGCCACAGGGTACCAGAGTGCTCTCACTACGGACCAATGGAACCAGCTGTATGCCTACCAGCTGGCTTACGGTGTGCGCATGGTGCAGTACGACGTGTATCCGGGCCCTAGTTACGGCGCCAGCGCTGTCGGCGACGGCTGCTGTGCAACCGGGGTCGAACAATTGATGTCGTTCAGTGACATCAGCGACTTCCCAACGTCTGGCCTGAAGACTGGCGCTGGTGTGAGTACCAGTGGCCTCTGGCACTATCCTGCCACCGTATCCAACACTACCTCCACCAAAGAAATCGCTCGTTTTGCCGCCAACTCCGATTCGGGCAGCGAGACCACTGCTGCCGTGATCAACAACTTCGATGGCCGTGAGCAAATGGCCTTCTTCATCTCCTTCGACACCACTTGGAGCGCCACCTCCACCTACCTGCAGCACGCATGGATCACCTGGCTCACCCGCGGCCTGTACGCGGGTTACCGCCGCGTGAACCTGAACACTCAGATCGACGACATGTTCCTGGAAACCGACATCTACAAGCCCAACGGCACCACCTTCCGCATCACGCCGGCCGACCTGGACGGCATTGCTAACTGGCTGCCGGAAATCAATGGCAAGATGAACGCCGGCAGCAACTACTACGTCGAAGTCGGCCACAACGGCAACGGCAACATCGAATCCGCCGCTGGCGTCTCCGACGAGGCCTACACCACTTGCAACGAGGGCGGCATCGAGTACGACTCGCCCGCCGACACCCCCCTGGAATGGAAGAAGCCCGTGGGGACCGGCACCAACCTTTGGCCCTCCTCTCCCACCACCTACGACTGGTCCGTTGCCTGCACGCAGCTCGACCCTCTCCTCCTCTGGTGGACCAACACTACCAACCAGGACAAGTTCGGCCACATCTCCCACACCTTCACCCACGAAGAGCAAAACAATGCCACCTACTCCGATGTCTACAAGGAAATCTCCTTCAACCAGGCCTGGCTGAAACAAGTCGGCATCTCCTCCGCCAAGCACTTCACTTCTAACGGTATCATCCCTCCCGCCATCACGGGCCTGCACAACGGCGATGCCCTGCGCGCCTGGTGGGAAAACGGCATCACCAACTGCGTTGGTGATAACACGCGCTCTGCCCTCCTGAACCAACAGAATGACATGTGGCCCTACTGGACCAATGAAGCCTCTGACGGTTTCGACGGTATGCAGGTCAACCCGCGCTTCGCCACCCGCATCTACTACAACTGCGATACCCCAGACTGCACGCTGCAGGAATGGATCGACACCTCCGCTGGATCCGGTGACTTTGATAACTTGCTCGCTACGGAGAAGGGCGAAGTCATGCGTCACCTGTTCGGTCTGCACCATGACCCCTACATGTTCCATCAGGCCAATCTGCGTAATGCCGATGTGGACGCCATCACAGTCAACGGCGTCTCGGCCAAGTACTCCATCTTCCAAGCGTGGGTGGAGACCCAGGTGCAGGAGTTTGTGCGCTTGGTCGATTGGCCCCTTGTTACTATCAACCATGAAGCTGTATGTCTCCCCCATTCCCTAATTTTAAGTCTAACCCAAAAATGATACTAATACGATGAATAGATGTCCGCCTCCTTCCTGGCCCGCTACACTCGCGACGCCTGCAACTACTCCCTGCGCTACACCATCTCCGATCACAAGATCACGGGCGCCACCCTCTCTGCGACGGATAATACCTGCAATGCTACCATCCCCGTCACGTTCCCCGTGGCACCGACCAACACGCAGGGCTTCACGACCGAGCAGGTCGGAAGTGATCCGTTGACCGTGTGGGTGCAGCTGTCGGGGTCGCCGGTCAGCTTCACGCTGTCGACGCCGATTGCGCTGTAAGATGAGTTTCTGAATGTTCATAGTATGTATAATGGATATATTAGATACTAGTCAGTTACTACTTGGTTAGGTATGATATTTCGAATTGAATATATTAGCTATTAGTTAGTTGGGCGGGATGAATACGAAAATGACATAAATACAACTAAAAGAATGGGTATTAAAACAAACAGGTTTCTTTCCTTCTTCCACGCTTAGTATCCTAGACTATAACACAGCAAATATAGCAACAATCAATTTAATCCAAACCATTCCAAGTACTCAACCCTGTTATATTTCCCCCACACTACTATCATAAAAAAAAAACAGGTACGTACGTACCCTCTCACATTCCTAATGAGGCATGATGTATCTCTGCAGGGTCTCTTTTTACCGGCTATCCATGTTTTTGGCAGAAATCAAGAAACCTACGCATTCTTGGCGGGGTACAGGAATGTCATTGGACTGGTTTCAGCTGTTTGTTTGCTTCCTCTGTAAGTAGTACCTTAGTACCCCGTACTATTAATACCCTCCAACTACGGAGTACCTCCATGGGACAACCCGATGATGCTATTATCTAATGGCATGGCATGACGCCACGAATGTGGCAAAAGTATCGAGTCAATATATTTGTCTCTGTTTTCGATCAACATCTAGACTCGAGTAAACAAATAGCCGGATTCATCCGTGAGTAAGTAGGGTTTGTCTCTGTGGCAAAAATATCGATGCCGGATGGGATGGGATGGGATTGAATATGGGGGTCATAAGTCGGGTACTAGTAGATCTTGGCGGGACTTTTTCGTTTTGGGTTGGTTTGGGTTTTGGAGCTAATAGACGAGGAAAGGGAGGATTGATTTGATCTAGATCGATTGGGTAACTTAATCGGGATCGAATTTTCGGGATGCGCTTTGTTCAGAATCCTTTTTCATCGCATGGTTGGTTATCCGTGCTTTCCGATCTGAGACATATTGCTTTGTTTTTTCCCATCTGTTTGTGTCGTGGGTTTTTGTTAGATGGTTTCGTGTTATGTTATGTTACGTTATGCACTGCGATGTATCTATCCACACATCTACACAAGAATACTACAAAGATGGATGGACCAGGGCTTAGCTTAACTCCGAACTCATCATACGGTGTAGAACGTTGTACATACCCATAGTGTCATCTATCAAATCAACTAGTATCTATCTAGGATAGAGGAACATGGCATGTACTAGGTATGCAACAACTCGTATTCCCACATCCATCTCATCCATCTACCTACTACTCCGCCCCAACACTCCTCCTCTTCCTCCGCATAATACTCAGTAATAATCAACATCCCATCCCATCCCATCCGTCCGAATGACACACTAACACAACATGACACGACATCTAAGACATCACATCACGCCAAGCCAAGCAACAGGGGTTATACTCCCGCCCTCGTATTCGGCCTCGGCGAGTTCCCAACATTCATCATCCCCGCCCGCAGTCCTGAATAGCCCTAGTCGAATATCAAACCCGACAGGGGAGAGTAAGTCTAAGCCGCTTTCCACCCTTCCCTCCGCATAGTCGGTGGTAATTACTCAATGAGGTGGAGATTTGCTTCTTCTATACTACCATCATCACTACTACTACTACTGCTACTGTCTTTTCGTTTGTGTAAGAGGGAGGGGGCGCTTCGCCGTAGCAACCGTCACACACATACCTGTATGTCAAGCTTTGACTGACAGATGGATACCTGGATAGCTGCCAGGGTCCAGGGGCGATGTGTTGGCGAGGTGTGACTGGTTTGGTTTCTTCTGCATGTACTCTCGGGGGAGATGTTGAGGGTATCCCCGTTAGGGTCGGTGAGTACATAGCTTACTAGCTAGCTAGTGAGTCGGCTCCGAGGGGAGGTAAAGTTGAGTCTGGAGTGTGTCTACTAGTCAGGTCAGGTCATAAGATCCATCACATCAGAACAGTGTGCTAGTAGTCCGGAGGAAGTCTTCATTAGGTTAGATAAACAGTAACGACTTCGTACTAGTCATGCATCGCATCAGTATCCCCGCCATGACAACAACGTGGTGAATTGGAGATGACTGGAATGGAATCCCCCCTGCTGGCCAAGCCAAGCCAGCGGGTTTCCCTCCGCCGGCGGTTCTGGCCAGATTTTCTCGACGGGCGAGTCAGGCTGCGGCTCTAGTGTAAAGGCCAAGACGTATACGAGAGAAGAAGTAAGTGCCTAAGAGGAGATGTAAGCCGAAGAATTAGAATAGACTAATGTTTGACGATGGCTTAGCGAGCCAGAATAAGACGACTCCGTGGTGTTGCCAAGCCTGGTATCGAAAGTTACGCGGTACAGATGCTCTACACAGCGGAGCGGATTTACAAAACCGCATTAAATACCATACCACTGTGACCGTAACGAGAAAAAGATCTTACTGGATCTCGGGAGTTGCGGTTAGTGTCCGAGGCCTTCATGGCTGGATGGCTGGATGGATTGATTGGCAAGGTTCCGGCCCGATGGGAGGACAAGAAAGGCCAACGCAGAATCAAGGGCCCAAAGAAGCAAAAAAAGGGGGGAAGAAGCAGCCAGCAGAGCAGACTTTGTTCTGTTCCTATTACGCTATTAGCCGTTCTGCCTCCGTGAAGTTTCTTCACGGCGGAAAAGAAGGGGGAAACTTTAAACCGGCAACGGCAAGTGAAGACGTCTCGCTTAGCCAGACTCAAAATCATTGCCTTTTGCCTCCAGCGTGTCGCCTAACCCATCGTCTATTTTGGGGGCGGCAGCACTCAAGAATAGCAACGCCAAGGGTTATACACACACCCAGCGCCAAGTCGGCATTGTCGAGTCGACGAGCTTGTCCTCTATTCCAGGATCACCGTGTTTCAGCTGTTCACTAGCTCCGAAGCCGGAGTGTTCCATGGTTGGCGGTGGAGATGGCTCTGGTGTTTCGAGCATCGAACAACCGTGGAAGCTCCTGAAGAAATCGCAATCTCTGGTTCCCCAATTTGTGGACTGAGCACGGTCGCATCTTGCGATCTCTGTTTATTTCCCGCTTAACTCTTTTGGTAAGCGACCCAAGACTGAGTAGACAGACAGTCAGTCAGTCATTCACTCCAAGCCATCCGGCCGAACCCGGTTTGTCCACCAGTCGACGTGAAGCATCCAACGCCAAGTTGATGACCGGACAAGACACCGGCGCCTTGGTAGTTTTATTCTTGGCCAGTTAGGCTCCCGAATTTTCGCCTCTTTGTCTTCCGGCGTTTCCCCTCTCGTAGACTGCCCGTCGATTAGGGCAGGGTTGCACAGCTAATGAGAGTGGCGGGACGATTTGCAGGGTCCAGCTGGTTCCCTTCAGGGTCCGACTCTCTCACCACCTCACCACACTGCCTATCATCATCACCATCTTGACGCCCCTACAGTTTCGCTCATTTGGCAAGCTGTTTCAGACGGCGTGCTGCAATATGAACCGGAGATCCGTGTGACCAGTGAAGCTTCTTTGACTTCATCTTCAGGCAACTTCATTTCCTCGAGCTGCAATCGCCCTGGTTTGACAGGCAGGTCCCGGTCTAGACTCACTGGTGACTAGTGACTGTTTCTGCACTGCGCTCCACCTTTTATTCCCCGTAGCCCCGGATCTTCTTCTTTCCTCTCGCGCGCGACTTTTTCGCGATTCCTCTTTTGCTCTCGTTCGTGTTCAATCTGCTATACGATGGAGCCAGCCAGTGAGGCCGCCCTCAAGGGCCCTCCCACGCGGGGATGGAAGACGTGGACTTTCAAGAAGAAGCTCCTCATCATCGGAGGGATCATCGGGTTTATCATCGCCCTGGGTATTGGTCTTGGAGTCGGACTGGGTGTTGGATTGGGCGGCGGAGGGGGAGGAGAGGAAGAGGGAGGAGGCGGGGAGACGACGCCGCCCAGTTCAGGCAATTACACCACAGCCAAGTGGCAGCCCACCGTCGGCACTAGCTGGCAGATCGAATTGCTCTATTCTTTGAACGACACCTCCGTCGACGTGGATGTTTACGACATTGACCTGTTCAACAATAACAAGTCTGTAATCAACGATCTGCAAAAGGCAGGCCGTAAAGTCATCTGCTACTTCTCCGCTGGCAGCTACGAGAATTGGCGTCCGGATAAGGACAAGTTCAACTCGGATGATCTGGGCAGCAACCTGGACGGATGGCCTGGCGAGAAATGGATCAACATCAGCTCTCCTCGCATACGCAATATCATGCTCACGCGCCTGGATCTGGCTCAGAACAAGAGTTGCGACGGTGTGGATCCGGACAACGTCGACGGATACGACAATGATAACGGGCTGGATCTGACGGAGGCCGATTCGATCAGCTACATGAACTGGATGGCCAATGAGGCGCATGCGCGCAACATGTCCATTGGATTGAAGAACGCGGGGGCAATCATCTCGTCGGTCATCAAGAACATGCAATGGAGCGTCAATGAGCAATGCGCGCAGTACGACGAGTGTGACACCTACGCGGCCTTCATCAAGGCAGGGAAGCCCGTCTTCCACATCGAATACCCCAAGGGTGACGACACCAACAACAACCTGTCAGTGACCTCGTCTGAGAAGACCAAGGCGTGCAACGCCACCGACTCGGGCAATTTCTCCACGGTGATCAAGAACATGGACCTGGACAATTGGATCGAGATGTGCTAGCAGGGCCGTTTTCAGATGAATGGAATGTAGGGACTGGAATTCGTCACACAAGCAAGGGCGCAGGGAGTTTTGATAACGATATCTATTGTACTGTAAATGATTGCTACTATTATCTACTATGATGTAATCCAGCATTCGTCTAGAAAGTTTATGATTGATCGTCACTTGTCATATGCACCACCCACACCTTCTCCCTGGAATACCTAACTACCTGTTTGCTGTCATTGACAACCTCTTTCTCCCCGAGCAACATCATGCATAACATACCTGCCATACCTTCCATACCATGCCATCCTCTCACCCGTCTCACTCTTTAGTGTCTAGTGTCTAGAGTCTAGTGCAACAATAATCGTATCATCTGGAACCACATCA